AAGAGAGCTATCTGAATGAATGAATGAAATGTTGTTTAATGGCACGTCAGGTCCAACCGGGCTATATTGCGCCAAACATATGGTGATATTAACGAGACAAACTAGAAACAAATAATCACAATATTATCTATATATACATAAATAAAAACAAATATCACAGTAAATATCAAATAAAAATAAATATAAACTTTATGTATATATATTTAAAACATGAAAGAGAAAATCGGATATATACAATTAAAATTTTAGATAAAAATTTGTCTTTTAAAAAATCTAGCGCTTTACAATATAGACCCGGTTGGGCAAACAACTGATGTAGTGATTGGCAACGGTAATACCGTAATCTTGTATCTTTGAGATTCTTGCACTCAATCAAAATGTTCTTAACTGTCAAAGGAACATGACAGTGTTCACGTTCTCGCTTTAAGATGAAAATATGTGTTTAAAAAAGTATGAACTATGCGAGAGCGACACAAAACAACTTCATCTCTCCTGTTAGAGTAATAGGAGCTTGACCAATCTCCAAGCAGAGGCATTATGTGATGAAGTTTATTTGTGCCAGCAAGATCCCAAGACCGTTGCCAGCGGCCATAAATGTAATGATTAATACAATGTTTAAAATCATTGCATGGTGTTAAAAATTTTGATAGGGGAAAATCCATGATGAAATGAAATGAGGTTTTATGGCACGTTTGGAACTAATGAAATGAAATGTGGTTTTATGGCACGTCAGCTCCAACCGGGCTATATTGCGCCAAAACATATGGAGAATAAAACGAGACGGGCTAAATTATATCACAGAAAAACATTATATACATAAATAAAAACAATATCACAGTTCATAAAATTAAAAATAAAATACAACTTTTACTCATATAAATAAATATTAAATACAAAAATGAAATGATATATATATATACATACAATTAAAATTTATGATAACCCGGTTGGACAAACATTGTAATGACTTGACAACGGTAAAAATTCGATCTAATATCCTTGAAATGCTTACACTCAATCAAAATGTGTTTAACTGTCAAAGGAACATGACAGTGCTCAGCGTTTGCAAAGGATATGAAATATTTTTCTGTTTTTACCTGTTGTACGAGTCTTCTTGATTTGGGAAGCCATGGAATATAATTAAAGGTTCATCCCTGCCTGCTCTCCAACCATCAAGGGTTACAATCTCCATGTAGGCTGCTACGCGGATATCCAGCGTATATGCCTTGCGAGGACAGACGGATATACCCAGACAAAGTAAAGATATAATCAGTTACTCTACCTGGTTGGCCTAAGCCGCTGCTTTTAGAATAAGCACTCGGGACGCAAAGGTAGAACTGCAACAAACACATAACCGATTTATGGGAAAGATGTGCCTACTCTTCAGCTAATCACGACCAAAGTCGATTGACCAGAGTGGGTCACTCTGACCTCCCGTCTAGGTGAATTGTGGGCTGAAGCAATGTGTTGCAGAGAAAAGGCTCGCAAGCCAAATCCCCACTCAATTACCCGGATTCCATTCTCCACCTGTCGGAACCAATAACAGGTTCGGGATACAGGACAATCTAATGGATGTTGTTGTAGAAATACATGACCCCAAACAACATCATAGAAGTCCTGTTAAACCTCCCTGAAAATGAAATGAAATGAAATGGGGTTACCTCCCTGAAAATAGTTAATTCCATTATTCAGTGGAATTGTCATGGTCTTAAACCAAATTTTAATGAAGTTCAAATATTAATTCAAAAATTTAATCTTTTAGCTATTTGTTTACAAGAAACTTTTTTTTAAAGAATTCAGATATCTTAACACTCAGACATTTTGTTGCCTATCATGGTAGAGCACACAGTGGTGTTTCCATTTTCCTTAATGGAAATATCCCGCCGAGTAAAGTAGCCCTCAACTCGCCTTCAGAGGCAGTTGCAGTGAGGGTGACTCTACACATTTCCATCACACTCTGCTCTGTATATTTACCAGTCTCTTCATTATGATCGCTTTATTACCAATAAAGATTGTAAAAGTGTTGATATACGTAACTGTTATACTAGGAGAAGAGAGACCACAACACAGAACACCTTAGCAGGAGAAGTCGAAGCACAGAAGACGCCCCATAAAGCCAAAGGAACAAGAAAAATTAAATTTACACCATGTCTTAATGCCATCAGATATAACAAAAACTGAACATTCACAGATCTAGTCCGATACATCTATATAATGCCGAAACTTGCATCCTGGAATGTCAACGACATGAGAGACCGTGACAAAATATTTTTAAAAAAAGTATTTGCGTATTTAGATGAACAAAAAATAGCTATTACCTGCCTCCTTTATTAGACATTCTGGGATTAAATTTTTGGGACTGTATTGTTGACGAAAAGAAAGATTTTCAGGTGTGGGGACTTTAATGAAGACTGGAAACCCTTATATGAATAGATGTTCTGATATGCAAACATAAATTATCATGTATGTGTTTTAATTTCTGTATTGTAGATCATGAATTATGTGATGTATATAGACGATATATATACTAGATCACAGCATTGTTAATATGAATGTAAATTTTACAGATTGTGAATATGGTCCAGGTATATACATATTCAATAATACTATTTTGGAAGATACACGCTTCTATGATGAAGTCAGAAAAGTGATTAAAGATGAAATAGACACAAACTTATATTACAATGACCACTTGCATGGATGGATAACTTAAAATTAAAACGCTGACTAGCAACTAGTCGAAAACATTGAAAAAAAAAGATAATGCAGAATTTCGAGACATTCAAAGTAAATTACGCAAAAAATATAGACGTATCGCAAACACGAAATGTCAAGATTTAGACTATACTGTAGAATTAGAGCACACATTAGAACGCACAGAAAACGATTTATGTGCTGGAGGAAGCAAACCATGCAATCTTAAACATGTGGTGTAGAGTGACAAGAATACAGGGGTTTTTTTCTTATTAGAAAAGAATTGACAAAAACTCATTTGTGTTATTTACAGATAACGGAAATGTCATATTAGATACAGAATATATATTATATCTAAATATATAAACTTCTATAGTAAATTATATGCTAATGATACCAACCACGTAAACTTCTATAGTAAATTATATGCTAATGATACCAACCACGTAAACTTTAAGTTTATAGATTATGTATGTAATATTAATAAGAATAAATTATTAAGAGGATCAAATCCAATGCGACATCTCAATGGCGTTTCAATCTCTTTTTAAGGGAGCTACGGTCTATGTATGGTGTTTATGCTATTTATACAGACGGCTCTGACGATGGTGATCGGGTATTATTAAAGCGCGAGCCTGAAACCAGAATTTGAACAGTGTAGTGTTCCTTTGACGGTTAAGCACATCCTGATTGAGTGCACGTTTCTCAAGGACATTAGATCAAAGTGTTTCTGTTGTCAGTCATTAGAACAATTATTTGCCCAATCGGGTCTATATTGCAAAACGCTAGACTTTTTAAAAGAGACAAATTTTCATAGACAATATTAATTGTAAACGTATGTGTCATCTTGGTTTTCATTTTTTAATTATTTGTGTACACGGAGTTGTAATTTGTATTTTTAATTATTTAATATTGTGATATTTGTTTTTGTGTGTACATAATACTTCATGTGGTTACAATATTACATATAGTTTGTCTCATACTATGCACCATGTTTGGCGCAATATATCCCGGTTGGAGCTCAGGTGCCAAACAACTTTTTCATTTTGAATTTCGTATGAGCCGTATAGATTACATACATGTGAGCCAGTAGTTAAGACATAACATACAATGTGTTATCCTACCACAGTCAAGTCAATTTAACGGTTGATTTTAGTGAGTATAACGAGGAAAATGAAATGGTTAATGGCACGTCAGCTCCAACCGGGCTATATTGCGCCAAACATATGGTGAATCTAACGAGACAAATTAAAAAGATATCACATAAATGAATTTATATATGTAAGAGTATAACGAGGGAAGGGTGTTTATTGATTTTTTTCGATATCCACATGCCTCAATGGCTAGAGCACTGGTCACAGAGTTATTTTATTTAGATTTCAGTGAGGGGACGTATAGCTTATCTGGTTAGTGTTTAACTTGTTTTAAAGTAATTCTGTAATATTTAATTGGTAAATAGACTTATAATTCTTCTACTATAATAGGTGACTTATCTGGGATTCGAAACCACGCCAGTTGACTCAATGACAGGCCTTATGATACAGAGCGCGCTAACCATTCGGCCATCCAACCCTACAACTCTGACAGTAATTATCTGGAATTATAGACTTCTCTGTCGCATGACCCTAAACCTTGTGTAGAAATTTAAAGTCAGTCGAATATCAACTTGGGCCTCTAGAGCGTCCACTCGCAATTTGAACGTAGGACCGAAAGACAGACGGGGGCGACGACAATGTCTAGGCGTATAACAAGAAATTGTCGAAAACTTGAAATCAGCAAATATGCTTCAAATACATTTATTAGTATACCAATCCAAATTTCTTAAAATTATATTTTAAAAACCTAACATTGGATTTGTAAGCATCGTAAATAAACAGGTATAAAATTGTTATATTCTGGCTATTGACCCCTCCCCCCTTCTGAGCAAAAAACAATGTATGACGTATAAAATAATGTATTTATACCTGTTATAGTCTATAGGCCTAATTTGGACTGGTTTGGAAACTAGGTAAATATGACCGTTATATAATCTACAACTCATTGCTTATATAACACATGAAACGCGGAGTCGGCCCATTTAACCAGGAGTGTAGTTTATTCATTCCCGGCCATTGAAATTCTTATACTGTGTACTATAACACTGTGCAGGAGCGGCCAATGAAATTCTACAACAAATACAGCCCAATAATACGTCAGAGAAAAGGTTATAAAACATACGAATCACACCCGCACAGAATATTATAAAAGTAAAGACTGGGACACGGTATAGATTATAGCATACTCAGGATACGTAGTGTCAATATTAACTAGTAACTAAGTTATAGTCAACCAAGGATACGTAGTGCCATATTTAACTAAGTTATAGCATACTGAGAAAACATAGTACCAATATTTAATTTAGTTTAAGGTAGATATTCTATTTTATTCTGAAGTTGGATACATTTTACAGGCATATGACACTGTGGTGTGTAGTTTATGTTACGAAGGAATCATCAAGCTAATGTCGCATTGTTCATTCATAGCAACAATTTTTTTATTCTGAAGTTGGATACATTTTACAAGCATTTGTTTAATGACAATGTGGTGTGTAGTTTATGTTACGAAGGAATCATCAAGCTAATGTCGCATCGTTCATTCATAGCAACAATTTTTTTCATTTATTTTTTTATACAGAACAAACAATGTCCACAGTACCTAACACCAACTCGAACGAAAACGCTGTTGAAAAAGTATTGGACATGCCAAAATATTCGGTAGTTGAGAAAAACGAGGTAGGTCTAATCAGGGCAGATTTCTATTGAATACCAAATTGCTTATTACCGAGTGATGTTCACACTCAGATACTCTAGTCTGTAATTAACAAAAAGGGACCCTATTCAAATTGTTGCTAGTAGGTAAGAAACAGTGTAATTGTATTTCCTAGAATTCCCTCTTGTGCTTTTTCTACTTCCGTTACTTAATTAAGGATATATAACGGAAGGGAATAAGGTTTCTTTTAAAAACAAATTAAAGGCAATATGCCGGAAGGTTTGGGGTTCAAAAATTTTGAAAGTATTCACATTTGCACCTTTGATGTTGCAGTGCCTCATTGTGATGTCATCACCATTTCATGTTTGTTACAAAGATAAAAACCACTGGGGGAGAAAAGTCCGAAATTTTGGTCGGTGTCTCGATCAATTATTTTTCTGTCTTATTTAATGAAATTAGTGAGTAATTATGACTCCACATAAAAATGGACGTAATGTAAAATACATTTGTCTGAATTACCACTTTCAACAACTGAATTTGGTTTAAATCGAATTGTAAATGACTGGTTTTGTTTGTTGGCAGATAAACGATTGAAATAGCCACTAGCTTATTTTTTCATTCGACCTTGCGACATGTTGATATAAAAAGTACAAACGTGCGAGTGACTTAAATTTTCATTCGACCAACAGATAATTTCGTTCAATTACTGGTGGAACGATCAACATTTTGTTCGATCGGCTGGTATTTCATTCAATTGATAACAATAGGACTTAGCCTAATCTTTTCACGTCTGTTTCTGCGATTTCTCTATTTTTACAGATGTTTGAAGAGAGACATTATCCAGTGAGTAAATGGGCAAGCTGTAAAATTATGGGTATCGTTCTCAAAGATGCTCTGATGACGGGGTTTTCTAAATTGTTTGAATACATTGAAGGACAAAATCAACCAGGTAATATTTTACTGTTGTCACTATTATCAGGCCCAAAAAAAAAGGGTTCTGTTTCCTGTAACGGATGGAAAATAGGGTAGGGTCGGTAGGTAGGTTTTTTTTAATGCCACAGGTTGAGTCAGCGCCGAGGAACATGAAGCACGAATAGATTGGTGGATGGAATTCTTGGATAATTGTTTAAATATTCTCTTAGGGGGCAAATGGACTTTTTAATGGTACTATGCTAAAAAAAAATAGCATAGAGAGGCCATTTTGTTCAAGGGAAAGAACTCGCGATGAAAACTTAAAAAATCATATCGTGCCGTCGCACGAAATAGGTCCGTAATAAATTTATTTCACTTCTTTTAAATACCAATCGAGCAGATCGTATCCAACTGTTTGAAATATACGTTAGCTTGTTTTTGTCTAATTGCGTGCCGTTACTTATTAGAACGAAGGTTGTGAGGATTGTAGCTTTTCGGAATGTGCAGTGGTAAATCTAAACGAAACCTGTAGTCTCGATTTTTACTTTAGTTTACAATCTCGCATCAACAGTATGGCAGTTTTTAATAATCGTTCGTTGTACAACGTACCCGACTATTCCGATCGGTAAATGCAGATTCAAAGAACGATGGCATTTATATTCATTTATAGCAACAAAAAATAGGCATTTTCACGAATCCGATAGGCTTAGAGTATTCTGACACTAAAAAAAAAATTGAGTCGACAAGTTTTGTAATGGGTCGGTCGGGTTACCGGAAACAACATTTTTTTTTTTTTTTTTTTTTTGGCCTCAAGCATGGCAGCACGAGGTAATGCCTATGGTGGCTGATTGGTATCATGTGATGATGTCGTGGTGTGCGGCCTTTTAGCGACAACCCGACATCACGACATTTTAACCCGACATCACGATATTTTAACCCGACACCATGACAACCCGACATCACGACAATACGACATTTTAACCCGACATCACGACATTTTCACCCGACACCACGACATAATGTCGCGTAAAAATGTCGTATTGTCGGGTTAAAATGTCGTGATGTCTGGTTATCGGCCATATTCCTCTCAATACTATGATTATGTACACTGATCCTGGTGTTGGTCAAGAAAGTTCCCCGGGATTTTGCAGCGTGGTTTCTTCCTGTCGGTAGTGGGGGACAAAGGGTCTGTTAAAGTACAGTGTCTAGTTGTGTAGATGAGACAAAAAACAAGCTCCTGTGTACACATTGGCGTGCACATAAAAGAATCCTTCATAATTGAATTTCGATGAAGAAATGCCACGGTCCATTGAAAATGTCCGTCATAGCGTTTGCCTATCTTCAAATGAAATGAAATTGTGTTTAACGTCCTACTGTTCTGCTCTGACTGGGCTAATGAATACGGATATACGCAATACAGTGTACTGTGAGGGAAACTTTGCCCGGATAGCGGCGCTACGGCCTACTCTTATATTGAATTTCAACTGTACGGGTCTTTGCTCGCTAATATGTACACGGAACCTCAATTTTTCGTCATATCCAAAAGACTATACTGTATCCCCTGCCAGGCCCTGCGCCCTGTACCACTGTAAAGAGGAATCACGCCGGAAAATTCCCGATGGGCTTGTGGTGCAGGACGGGGGGGGGGGGGCTGGCAAGTGATAACGTATAGTCGTTCGGATGGTACGAAAAACCGAGGCCCCATTTACAATTTGACGTGCACGTAAAAGACCCCCTGACATTTGGAATTGACTATAAGAGTAGGCCATAGCGCCGCTAACCGGGTCAAGTTTCCCTCATAGTACACTGTATAGGGTATTCCGTCTTCATTAGCCCAGTCGGAGCAGAACGAAATGAAATGGAGTTTAACGTCCTACTGTTCTCCTCCGACTGGGCTAAGGAAGACGGGCTTACGCCATTCAATGTGTTATGAGGGACATTTTGCCCGGACAGCGGCGGTGTCAGGTGAAAATGTGATGTCGGGTTGTCGAAGTGTCAGGTTAAAATGTCGTGATGTGTTGTCGGGTTGTGGCCTTATGAATGGCGACACCACGACATCACGACATGATACCAATCAGCCACCATAAATACCAGTAGAAGAGAAGCGGTCATGCCGTCTTAATGTGCTCTATTGGTTACTTAAGAGATATTTAAAAGATATGTTTAAAAAAATCCCCGCACAACAGCAGTATATACAAAAATAGACTTGGGTTGAAATTAAGATCTATTGGACAAAACTCCCTTCAATGCAAGCCATTAAATGGCCAAGTAATAATAATAATAATTCCCGAGTACTGACCATTCCTTGAGTTGACCTGTTCTGTCTGTTCTTTGGCTAGAAATTGTTTGTTGGGTAAATGACCTTATTACCTGTAAGCTGGAATATTTAACTTGAAACTTTAATTTTTATTATTTATTTAACAGGCCAGAAAGTCGAGATGACGGCACCAGTAGCCACTAAAATAGTTCCAGGTGCAGGCCCAAATTGCAAAAGCACTTTTACAGTTTCCTTCTTTATCCCTCCAGAAAATGCAGATAATCCCCCCAAACCAACAGATCCAGATGTATTTATAGAAACCTGGCCAGCTCAAACTATTTATGCAAAGTAAGTAATAGACTGGCTCAAACGTGCGGAAGCACTTCGGTGGTTATAGGGGGGGGGGGGGGCGAATGGTTAGCACGTGCGCGCTATATCATAAAGCCTGTCATTGAGTCAGCTGGCTTGGTTTCGATTCCCCGGTTGTACGTGACAAGGAGTAGGGTCGCCTGTCCAACCTCGTGAGTTTACTCCGGGTCCTCCGGTTTCCTCCCACTGCTAAAGACCCCTACGCGGAAGCGAATTATTGAAATAAATTTGAACCATGTGTTAGTCCCGAAATGACCTAGTTTGTGTCGAGTGGACGCTAAACGCCATATCTCTCTCTCTCTCTCTCTCTCTCTCTGTGGTTGTAATTGCATTTATGGTTCTCAAACTAGAATCTATGCAAATACTGTCAATCCGTTGCTGATATATAGATATTTTAAATTTCAGTTTACGAGCCTAAACACTGCGGAGCCCTTGTGTAATAAGTGTTGGTGCTTGGGTTGTAGCGAATTTGTGGTTATTTCAAATATGATATTAATACAATTTAATTACGTTTGTTTTGTTCGTGAACTTAATAAAGCAGGCGGGTATTGCCATGCAAAGTTATTTCTTATAATTCGCTTTTGAAGGGAGCCCGGGTGGTTCAGTGAGTACATTACTGACTGACTAACCAGAAGGTCCATGGGTTAATCGCCCTGATGGTCGAGAAAGTTCCTCGGGTTTTCCAGAGTGATTTCGCCTTCTTAATTGTGCAGGATGGGTGACCGGGCCTGGTAAAGCGTCAAATCAATGGGGCGAAAAACGAGGTCCCGTACTTACCATTACGTTAAAAACCCATTGCCAGTTGGAAATCGAAATACGAGTAAACCGTCGCGCAGCTGTCTTGGCCAAAATGTTTAACCCTGTCCCCAGCCTGTGGTTATTGAAGGTTAAAGATGCATTATATAAGATTTTGATTTAGAGCTGACAATTATCTCTATAATAGTTAAAAAATAGATAATGAAAAGGGAATATATTGATTTTATTCTCAGCAAGCAAAGTTATGGCCGTTTGAAGGATATCGTAGTTTCGATTATTACTGCTACCGTTGTTACGATAATAAACAAAATCTCGATTATCCATTTTAAATTAAATTATTAACTGTCGATCGTGTTTAAATCCATTGAAAGTCACAAGTATCCGATGGACTAGAGAGTTGATTATGGGCTTGTCATGTAAATCATGTAAATATTAATGTATAATATATTAGGCCAAATTTAGATCTTACATAATGCATCTTTAATATTTACTCAATACCAATCCCTAGTGACTTTACTGACAGAAGGTTGATAACATCAATAGTCACAGGCGTACGAGCCGGGGGGGGGGGGGGGGCTTAACTTTCGGGCAATCTGACTTTACGGGAAGACGGGTAGAGTTAAAGAAAAAAATAATAATAAATCATTTAATTGGCAAAATAAAATGCCTAAAATCTAATAAAACACTCATTTTACTTTTCTATTGATTGTGATTGTATCTTAAGGACATTAGATTAAATCATTACCGTTGCCACTCTTTACATCAATTGTTTGGCCAATGACAAGCACATTCCAATATACCGCCTCTGTATTCTGGAATTCACTACCTCAAACTGTGAAACACGCGTCTTCAAGTTTTATCTTCAGAAAGGAGTTAGTAAAACACGTTAAATCTTTGAACCCTTGTTAATTACTATTGTCCTCTGAATGTATGTTTATTTGCCCTTTTTTTCTTTCTTTATTGTTTGTGTGTTTGATATTTCTTTATTACAAGATTATATAATATGATATATATGCACTTTGTAAATATTATTACTGTGTAGTTGCTAGTTGCGCATTCGACTCTCGCTGACGACCGGCGCCACCGTCTATAAACTGGATTTTTTTTTTGGGGGGGGGGGGCATTTCAGGTCTACGCTCTTAAAAGGACAATAACACTCTTGCTGGCTTGACAGCTCCAGTAAATAAATATTAGCCTTATTCTAAGTATTAGATGTTTAAGTGTCCTACCTGTTGTGTAAATTATCCATTACATCCTATTTTACTTGTCCAGAGGGTTTGAAAATATTTTTAAATCCAAGTCACATTTGAAAAGGGTTACGTTAGGCTTTTCAAATCATTTAGTTAAATTTTTTCAAATTTTTTAAATTAGGTGTGTTAAGATGAAATTTGTATCATCAATTAATTGGAATACTGTAAAATAGTACAATTTGTTGACCAGAATAAAGATTGGGACATATTATTCTGTTACAACAAGAGTGGTATTGAGCCTTTAACATTCGTGGGGCCCGTACGCCTATAGTTTCTATGGGAAATATAGTCTGGACGCGTAGGAAAATGTGTATCGTTTAATGTATCATTGGAAAGGTAAAGGACTCGACTCTTGAACAGGAAAAGGTGGCAGACACATCGGACTTTGTATTGTGTTAAGCAGATGCCACAATACATTTTTAATTGAGACGGTTTGGCCGTTATGGTTTAACACTGTAGAGTACATGGTCTGCAATCTATGCAAGTCGCGAGTTTCATCCGGCGCTTCAGCGTGACAATGTGTTGCGTATCAGTGTTCTCCAGCTTCCTCCCAATACTAAAATTCGCAAACGCATTATTGAAATAAAAATGCTGTATCCTAAAGCGAATGTTAAAACTTATTTCTCATTCTGTGTCTTCCAGGCGATTTGATGGTTTTTCCAATGATGAAGAATGGGTTTCTAAAGGTGAGGAATTAGCTCAGCAACTTGGTAATAAACCACTCAATAGGACATTCTGGTTTACTGCTGCCTATGATGGACCATATAAAACATTTGACAGACGAAATGAAGTTTGGTATCTTAAAGAAGACAAATAAAAAAGAAACAGAGACATTTTTATAACATTTATTTTTGTCAAATTAAAATTGTATTATACATATATTTTTACGTTTCTAAATAATTGTTTATTATTTTTTATTTGAAATGTTTAAATATTATTAAAAATGTTTACTTCTACGGGAACCATTTTTGATTATCAAAAGAACTTTCTGTTACGTGGCCTGTTAAAAATTGTGTGGAATGGAAATTGTTTGACAATTTATTCATATCCGATATAGATGGATTAACACCCCGTCATGATTGCAAGAAAAATTTATCGCCAAGGTTAAAAAAGAATCGACATACAGAAAAAGTTATCGCCAAAAATTTCGCCATATCGAATATTTTATCGCCAAAATTATATTTTTATCGCAATTGGCGGCAATGGCGATCGACAGCGTGAGCGCTGGTTGCAATAGAAACGTAGGACGTTAAACCTCATTTCATTTTATTTCGATTATTACAAGCAACATTAATAATTGCCAAGTTTTAGGAGAAAACATAATGCTCCACTATGATCCTTCAAGATGCCGTCTTTATCACGCCGGTCGAACAAATTTAAAATAAAAACCACTCATGCAACATATCAACCACATTTGACTAAAATAAAATGGCGTTTAACGTCCTACTTTTTTGTGCCGAAAGATCTAACGAAGACGGTGTCATGTGGTGTGCTAGGGGGAAATTTAGACATTACAGAACTGTTGGGGCTCTTTTGTGTGCCAGGGGCGGATCTAGGAATTTTTGCAGGAGGGGGTTTGCCAGGCTCCTGAGACAATGTATCTCCCCCCCCCACCCCCACCTCCCTCGCGCATGGTCTCTATCATCATTTTGGCGTATATACATACACATTGAGCTTTTTAAACAGAGAAATTCAACAACTCGTTTGACGTCAATTTTTATTATGAATTAATAAATGACATTCTGATTCAATTTCATGGATGCAAAGCATTAATTGTGATATCATATAATGTCTATATCATTATACAGGTCACAATTCTATGGAATATAATTACTGCTTTTTACTGAGCGACGTTTCGACTAGGCTTCTCTAGTCATTATCAAGCTATGATAAAAAATGAAAATATGACAGGACAATATATACATGTACACCACAATGCTTAGTTAATGCTGACAAACCAGGGATGTAACTTAATTACGTGTACCTAATGGTAATCTGATTTAATTGTACGCTAATAAGTAATAATACCAATTAACCTAAAAAATTGACTAATTGATTAATGGATAAGTTGTTGTGGAGTATACACAATGATTAGTGGGTTTTAATAATACAAACGTTGCAAGAAAATGAAAATTGATGAAATGTTATCAACGACCCCTTCCACTGAAATAAATACAAATGCCTGGCAAACCCCCTCCTGCAAAAATTCCTAGATCCGCCCCTGGCACACAAAAGAGCCCCAACAGTTCTGTAATGTCTAAATTTCCCCCTAGCACACCACATGACACCGTCTTCGTTAGATCTTTCTGAACAACAGCGTATTCAGCTCCAATCCATACTGTCTCCTAAAGATTACGACACAGTGAGAGAAAAACAAATCAGTTCGAATGCCCTGTTGGATGGAACTGTCAGAAAGCGGCAGGTGGATAAATTCAACAACCTCAGATCTTCATTACCACAGCGTCCAGTTTCAAATAGTACCAGACAATCAAGAGAAGAATACTTAACGAAAACAGTAGTCAACCTTAGTGATCGAGACTTAACCGATGACGAAATTACCATTATATCAAGGGGATTAAAGTTTGCACCGACCACAAAGCCCCTGAACCATGACACCTATATTGTCAACATTGAGAAAGGATTACGTCAACTCGCTCCAGGTGGTAAAGTCGATTACCTAAGGCACCAAATAACTGAAATACTAGCAAAGGCATCTACCAAGCAGCAGACGACCAATGTGTCCCGCCAAGAAAGGAAAGCCCTCAATGACCTAAAAGACGACAGATCTATCACAATTGTTTCCGCCGACAAGGGAAAAGCAACAGTCATCATGAATACTCACGAGTACCTCACAACGGTCAACGGTTTACTCCAAGATCCAGCAACATATAGAAGAATCCGCAAAGACCCAACAAACGCGCACAAGGACAGCCATGAAAACTTGCTTAAAAAACTAAAAGAAGACAAACAGATCTCTGAAGCTCTCTATTACAAGCTCAGACCAAACCACCCTCGACCACCTTATGCCAGGGCTACTATAAAAATCCATAAAAACCCCATGAAAGCCCGTCTGCTGGTGTGTTCTCGAGATTCAGTCTTCTACAACACAGCCCAATATTTATCAAAACTACTTTCCTCACTTGGCACAACTGCATCGTCCTTCATCAAAGATTCAGGTGAATTCTGTGAGAAACTGCAGAATATTCAAAACCCCGGGAGGATGGTCTCATATGATGTTGTAGATTTGTTTACAAATGTACTAAGGGAAGAGGCCCTGAAGATTCTACGCAAGCGCATAGAAAGTTTAGAAAACCCACTAGAGACTTCCCTATCAACAGACAACATCATACTCTTGTTGAAACAATGCATCAATTCAACATATTTCTCCTGGGGTGACGATTTTTACGAACAGACCAATGGATTACCCATGGAAAGCCCCCTCTCCCCTTTAATTTCAGAAATATTTTTAACTGATTTAGAAGAGAAGGCGCTTCAAACATCCACCGTAACCCCAACATGCTTCTTTAGGCAAGTGGATGATACCTTTGTTATTATCAATCAACAAGATGATCCAGAAACACTGTTACAACACCTCAACAGGCAACACCCACGTATAAAATTCACAATGGAAACCGAAAATGATAACCAACTACCTTTCCTCGATGTTTGTGTATCTAACACCAACAACTCGATCCGCACCAGTGTCTATAGGAAACCAACTCACACCGACCAATACATTCACTTCAAATCTAATCACCCGAATAGCGTCAAATCGGCCACAATTTCAACTCTGGTGAACCGTGCGAAAAAGATATGTGATCCTGAGAGCCTCTCCAAGGAAATTGATCATCTCAAACATGTCTTCACAAATTTCAACGGCTATCCAGGGAAGTTTGTGACAAACGCCATCAACAAGACCCTGTCAGCGAGTGCAGCTAAACCAAAAACCCCGACTGCCCCAGTCAGAATCTTCCTTCCTTTCAACGGCAAAGTCTCCTACCAAATCAAACGGCTACTAATGCAACAACCAGAAATAGATGTAACTTTCACAAAAAGCTACAGCACTAAAGATATATTAAGAGCCAATGGTAAACAAAATCCTACACAACCACCACAACCAAAGGGATGTGTTTATCAAATAGTATGCAATTGTGGGATTGCATACATCGGGGAGACAAAGCGACCATTAAATAAAAGGATAGATGACCACAAGTCGAAAGCAGCAACCAACAACTCAGCTGTAGCTGAACATTTGAACTCCAACCCTCGCCACAGAGTCCAATGGTCCAACGTAAAACCACTATGCAAGAACATAAGCAACAAGAGAGCGCGCCGATTACATGAAGCCATTCATATACGACGACACAAACCAACGATGAACAGAGATCAAGGATTGTTCCTTCCCAGGGCGTATGATATTCTTATCACATAATCAAGGCTAAGCATAATTCTACTTTTTTCTTTTTTATCATATTTAATACTTATCAATATTCCAGTAATAACTTTAAGTTTGTAATAACCATCATAATATGCAAAAATGACAACTAATAATTCCCAACTATTTTTGCTTTTCAGGCATTTCTGCTTTTCAGGCCTGCGGTTATTGTAATTTAATGCACTCAATATTTCTAACCCTGCTTTTCTACATCACCATAACATCCAGTGAAGTACCACTCAATATTTTAAATTGTCAGCCTTCAGGGGACTATTGATCATTTGTGCAGTCATTGTTCTAAGGGTTTTTCGTATATCAGTGTAATCACTCGCAACAACATCCACATATCAATTATTTTGGTCATAACACAAATCAAATCTCATCTTCGTGGGATGTTGTCATTATCAAAACCTCATCAAATCGTTGTAAATACTCCACAACAATCTATTCTTTTACCATTTGTATTTATTTCAGTGAAAGGGGTCGTTGATAACATTTCATCAATTTTCATTTTCTTGCAACGTTTGTATTATTAAAACCCACTAATCATTGTGTATACTCCACAACAACTTATCCATTAATCAATTAGTCAATTTTTTAGGTTAATTGGTATTATTACTTATTAGCGTACAATTAAATCAGATTACCATTAGGTACACGTAATTAAGTTACATCCCTGGTGTGTCAGCATTAACTAAGCATTGTGGTGTACATGTATATATTGTCCTGTCATATTTTCATTTTTTATCATAGCTTGATAATGACTAGAGAAGCCTAGTCGAAACGTCGCTCAGTAAAAAGCAGTAATTGTATTCCATAGAATTGTGACCTGTATACTCTAGTTCAATTACTAAATGCCATTGAAACAGAATGTCTATATCATTATCTCGTGTTTTGAGTGCCCATCCTTAACCACATCTGACGATAAAGGATAAAGCACACGGGCTGAGAAACTTTTCTCATAAAAAATGTTGATTTACAAAAAAAATTATGTAGCTGGACCCGCCCCTGTGTGCACGCTAACGAATACACGGGTGAACCTCGACTGTTCTTCCCATCCAAAGGACTAGATGATTTTTCCTTGTCAAGCCCATTTTTCTACACACGGACAGGGCTAAACGCGGTGTCGAACTCTGAGCCAGCATGGCACCCAAGTATTACACTTTCACGTGCACCTGCCGCCAAAGCAACCTACCGAAACAACAAGCACCACTTAATCAACATTCCTACAAAATAAGTGTAAGTTAATCGACGATGGACAACAACAAGAGAACTTAATGGATTAAAAAAAAAATGATTTTTTTTTATGAAATCAATAAATTAGAATAATTCATTCTGGAAAACGACGTTATTTTTTTATTATTTTGGTTTGGTAAAAGGAA